CAAGCCCGATTGTGAGGAAGTTTTGGTGGGGATTCTCCTGGGTAGGACGGACCGGCAGAGCAAGCTGGCAAGGATGGGAACAGGGCTGCCGCACGATGATAAAAAGGGAAGCCTGAGTGGTAAGCTTTTCAATTCCTTAATTCAATTGGTGTGGAAATCTATTAAGGAAGAATGGAAGCCACGAGCAGGAGATGAGAGGAAGGAATTGTTTGGGTCAAATTCAAGCCCAATTAGCCATGGGTTTAGTTGGATGTACAGGGAAACGTTGGCAGGTTGGGGCCAACATTGGATGGAAATTATTGAGCACCCATTTAAAGTTTTCAAGAGCTTAAATAAGCATCGGTACAAGGAAGAGTCGTTCTCCGATTCGTATTGTGTGGATTTTGAAGAGGAGTTGGAATCGTCTAGCTATGGCGAGGAGGACAAGTGTCACGACATGGGAGAGGCATCGAAGGTCAAGGAAGTTATGGGTAAAAGGTTCATTTCTAAACTTGAGCGTGATTGGAAGAAAAGAAAGCGCAAGGAGTGGAGAAGACAAAACGCGGATTGCGCGGGAGATGTGAAGAAATGGGTCGAGTCGATCAACCTTGAGGGCAAGGTTGGTCTGAAGGGGGAGGAGATGTTAGAAACCGATTTATCTAGGGTTTCTATATTTATTATTTTAATTATTATTAGGGTAAGTCTTATTAAGGTTAGTAGTATTTTAGTAGAATTAGGTTTATTATTAGGGTTTCCTAGTATTTTTCTATAAATATGTACTTTGGGTCTTTCGTCATATCAAGCATAAGTAATAAAAGAATCATCTCCCTAAATTCCTATCCTAATTCTCTCAATTCTTGACCTCAATCCCTCTAAAGGCTTAGACCGATTCCCTCCTATTCTTCCCCAATTCTTCTCCCAAATCCCTAATTCTATCTTCTCAATCCCTAAATTCCAAATCTCACCCAATACGAATCCCGTTAGAAACTTTGTTTCTAACCGTCACTGATGGCATCAAAATGTTGGGAACTAACTATATATGTCGAATATTCAACAGTAATCGTGCCGACATCAGTTTTGTTTTTGTTTTGAGTGCTTGCATATAGATCCAACCGTGCATGGAAATGGGACAATTCATGTCATTTCCTTTTTACTAACCCTACACTCGATAAATGACAAACAAATGATGCACCCAGGCACATAGCCGCTCCAAGCTCACTAATTAATTAAATAATCAGTTTTTTTTTATAATGAATGAATGAATTAAATAATTAATTATAATTCATAATTTTATTTTACATAATTTTGTCATTGGTGTACTAATTTTTTTGGCACACACTCGTTTTATAATCGTCATTCTTAACATGCAATTTATGTCAAAACGAGGTTAATCATCATTTGTGATATGATGCAAGTAAACACATGAACTTGCAGAAAAATAATTCAAGATTTACTTTGATTTGAAGGTTTAGAGTTTAGTGATTTAGAGTTACGGTTCAGGGATTATAGTTTGGGATTTAGGGTTAGCATTCAAAATTGAAGGTTTAGGGGTTAGGATAAGTGGTGGCGACAAAACTGCAAGTACACAGTGTCGTACAAGTAATAAAGTATAAGTTAAATTATCGTTCTCTAGGGGATTGGTGAAATTCAATAATTAACAAACTTTGTTCAAGAAAGTATAGAAATTTCAAAGGTTGTAATCAAGTGATGAGTTGCAGAATTATTGAAATTAACAAACTCAGAAAATGAAATATTTTGGAGAAATTAACTTTGGAGAGTTTCGGGGAGAAACACAAGATTTTATTATTAACCTCGGTAAATTTAATTGCTCTTGTCAATCAATTTAATCCGTATCTCTACAGTAAAGATATTTCTATATTGATAACTATCTCTATTGAGAATTACCACATAAACTAATTAAGACAATTTCTACTATCTTAGTTAACTGAATTAATTAATTAGTCTTAAGAACAATATCCCTAAAATAATTGCATAATTCCCTATTTAATCCACTATCACTTCAATAGACAATTATGTCATGTGGAATGCGTTCGGTTACTAGGTTTTCACTATCGTTATTAACCTAGAAAACTACAAATCATTTTGAAGGTGGGCAATTAACACAAAGTGTTAAACAATTTCACACGGTAGAAAATGGAGGAAAAACAAGTCATGATTAAAACATCGAGGCTGAATAATGAAATCCCAAAGTTTTCCCCAGAAATTGAGGAATTAGTTCATGATAAAAAGAAAGAACATAAACATGCTAATGTTCAACCTCATAACTAATTACCTAGACAATGGAGTAGAGAAAGTAATAAGTGTTGAAGTAAATCCCCAACTTACAGGAGTCTTACTTTCTTGAAAATGCTCAACTCCAAAGTGAGCTCTCTCCTTTGATTTTTCTTTCTAAAATCTGTCCACAAAAGTGTCTAGTAAGCTCCCCCTCTTGTTGTATTTTTTATGCTCCTTTTAAGCCCAATTTATGCAAATTTTCCTCCCACAAAACAAGACACTTTCAACTCCCATTTTCAAGAGAAGGTTGTTGCCAGCTTAAGTCTCTTTCTTTGCAATAAATTCTTGCATCACTTTGTATTTTTTTTTTTTTTGACAATTGCATCACTTTTTCTATTGGTGAGCCACCAAATCCATTTGCTCACTTCAAGAAATCTGATCCAATCCCAATAATTTCTGAGGACTGTTGACAGTTGAGTGAAGATTCCAACCACAATAATTCAATTTGGTTTTTTATCGGTTTGGCCTCCTGCTGAACGTTTGCCTCTGCACATCTGCACTTTGCCACTGCACCTGCATTCGTCCATTGCACTTTGTTTTGTTCACAATCTTAGCTTCAATCTGTGTCAAATTGCTAAATGTCTTGGTAATGACACTAGGGCCATTCTACGGTCAGTATGAACTAATTTAGAGCAATTTAAACACATACATACATAAATATCAATCATTTATGCACAAAATACATGTATGTTTATGAAGCTTATCAGTAAGAGATTGATTAGTTGTGTGATCCTATTTTATATCACCATATAAGGCGAATGCTACCAATTAAAATCCAAAATTCGATGTCTTAAGACTGCACTCAACTCTAAAAGTAGTCTTAAGATATCAAATTTTGAATTTTAATTGGTAGCATGCATATGATATGATGTTATAACATAGGATCACAACTAATCAATTCCTTACCTATACCCTACATATTAAATTTTGAACTCTAATCCTGAACCCCAAATTATAAATCCTAAATCCTAACCCAGTAACCCTAAAGCCCTAAACTCTAAAACCTTAAAATCAAAGTAAATGCTGGATTTTTTTGTCCAAATTCATGTGTTTTCTTGTCCATCATATCACAAGTGATGATTGACGTCGTTTTAAGTTTTAACACGAATTTCCTTCTCATAATGACAATTATAAGACGAGTGCAATGTAGTCCAAAAAAGTGGGTATTAAGAAAAAACCATATATATAACCTGGGACAGGTTATGGTGATTACTAAGGGTAAATTGGGTATGAAAAATAAATTGTATTAATTAATTTTTTTAATAAATTATATTTTAGGTAGTTACAAGAATCTATTAATTACAATTCTCTCTCTTTCTCTCACTTCCATAATCCTCAGCCAGATCCCGTTTCCTTATTTTTCTCAATCTTTCTGCAAAAGAAAAAAAAACACGAAACCACTACCAATCCATTAGACTACCACTTTGAAAAATATCAATACCATTGCAGAAATAAATCTATACCATTACACGAAAACTACCAATATAAACAATCTACCAATATAAATCTATATCATTTCACAAAAAATCAATACCATTGCAGATTGAATCCATACCAATACATGCAAATTAATACCATTACATGATAATCAATACCAATGCAAAAAAACACTACCACTACGAAAAAATCACTACCAATGCGAAAAAAATCAGATCTAGGGTTTTTATTCATCCCACCTTTTCCAGCGTATATACGGGTGCCGGTCACGGGGTGGGGTTGGGGTGGTCGGAGGTAGGGAGGGACGCCGGTTGTGGGGTAGTCGGAGGGAGGGAGGGACTAAGGCTGGCTGACTGGCTGGCTCCGACAACCAACCCCAACCTTTGAGAACCTATTAACCTAACAAAGAATTGACAGTGAAGAGTACCAGTATAGATGGAAAAGGAGGGAAGAGCCCCCCAAACCCAGGTCCAGCAGAAGAATCCCGGCAAGAAAATTCGTTCGCCGGCAAACCTTCCTCCCATTCTGATGCATGTTTTCTCCCCCAGGAGGAACGCCGGTTGTGGGGTGGGAGAAGGGAGAGACGGCGGCTAGGTAGATAGATTGTATTAGGGTTTGAGTATAATATATAGAGTAATCAGGTGTAGTATGTTTTTCATTTTCTAAATTACCCTTAGCTAATCTTAATTGTTAATTTAAAAATATAATAAAATAAAGATAATGAATGATATAGATGTTGGTAGCCACCGTGATTACTCAAAATTGAGTAACCACCCTAACCTATTCCTATATAACGCTCTCTTGCCTTTCTGCTCATGCATTATTTGCTTAATTACATGCCCGCCAGATAGGTAAAACTGTATTAAAGTTGTACTGATGATGAGTTAATGATGGTTATTGTGTGATTAATTAAACTGTGTAATTTTACAATTTCATACTGAGTTTCCAAAGGCAATTTTCGCAGCTGAAGGGTCCGTACGAGACGGTTTAGTAAAATATACACAGTTAATTATTACAAATCCAAAACTGAAAACCAAAAATTTCCCATATTAAACCAATTCAACACATAGCAGAATCTGAATACTCTCTGAAACTACAACCAGTGTTTCAGATTCTGGTCGTGTCAGCTGGAGATGCCGATTAATGGCGGCCATTTTCCATGCACATTCCACTCCATTCGCATTACGTAGATCTTGTTTCATATATTATTGAAAACAACGCAGCAAAGTGGGAAAAGAAAAAAATGCATATGTAAAAGTTCCACAATTTCCAACTAGGGAATACTACACCTACAGCACTGCCGCCGGGGACCTTCCGGTGGCGTCGGAGGAGGAGCTAGGATGAAGAATAGGAGCCGGCGACGGCAGCAATCGGACGACGGTGTCGGCGAAGGCGGAAACAATGTAGCCGTGAGTGTGCTTTGGGTTCATGGCGAGGTAACAGGAGAGCAGCTGGTGCAAGTAATCCCAATTCCCACGTGCGTCCACGATCCGCCGCGACTCAATCATCTCCTCCATCGACTTCTTGAAGTCCGAGTACGGATCCGGCGAGTATTTCCTCACCGCCACCACGCCCCCGTCCACCGGCGGCGGCCGACTACTAGGAGGGTTCACTTCCTCAACGGGACGATGGGATTTGGAGATGGAGTTGGAGAGGCCAGGGGAGGAGAAGAAGAAGCGCCGGGAGGCGAAGGCGGCGGCGAAATCCGGGGGAGGCCGTGAGTGGTCGGAATGCTCGGGGTACTCCGAGGATGTGGCGGCGGAGGAGGGAATGTCGAAGGCAATGGATGACGTGGCGTCGGCGTAGGGCGGATGAGGCGGGTCGGGTCCGGCCGGTTCGGAGGGGAACGGGGCAGGAGCGGTGGTGGGGAGGCATTGGAGGAGGAGGTTTCTCCAGAAGAAGGGTAGTGTGGGCATTTTTTGTTTATTTTGGTTGGAGCTATAGAGAAGAAGGCCACTTGATTGGGCGATGCAATGGGGAGTATTTATTTAATTTAGTTACAAGGGTAAGTACGTACTACGCGACGAATTGACAGAAAAAGGCCACTTGATTATGTTGGCTTAACGGCGGCCACAGCATTGCTCAACTAGGGTTTTGTGAGAATGTCGACTAATCGTGAAAAAAGTTTGCTAGAGAGAAATCAATAATGTCGACTAATCGTGAAAAAAGTTTGTAAGAAAATCGAGCGTAGTTGGAATGTATCAACCTGCATGAACGAAATCATGAATGTAACGGAGATACGGTTGTGGAGCTGAGGATTGACATCGATTTGAATCGCACGCTAGTATTATCGACATAGAGGACAGAGCGATTCGAAACGCGACCCTCCCGCGCATGCTGCCTCCTCGGATAAATAAAACTTTTATGTGTTTGCCAAGCCTATGTCCTTCCCATTCTAAGGGACAACATAGAGTAAACTTGCCAAATTCTATTCCCAAACATCATCTCGTACATTTTCGCGACATTTTTACTATTTTGATGCATATCTATTAATTTAACTAGTGTTTTATTCCTTTATTGTTTATTTTTATAACAGTTTTGTAATAATTTTCAGATTCAGACACAATGGAAGCGAATGCATGCCAGATCAGACCAGTGTGAATCCTACCAGTAAACAACGGAGAAAACTTGATTCGCGAAAACCACAGGCCCATTACAGTCCAAACATGCTCCAGAGCCCGCCCAGATTCCAATGGCCCACAGCCAGACGCAAAGTCCACATCTGCGCGTTGAAAAACTATAGCAGGTAACATGCTACTCCATTAACATTTGTTTTCAGCTGTCAGTCGACCTCCTCTTCCTCGCCTCTGTCAGCAGAAGAATTCTAGAAAGAAAAAAAAAAAATTCTTCGAGAAGTCAAAACACAAATCAAATTCTGGAGGGATCTCAGGTAGTAAGCATAGCATAACTAAAGAAACTACGCCGTTTACGTCAAGAAAGGGAAAGCTTACACATATTAGTATATTACACACCAAAGGTAAAACACCCATACATGCGGTTACTGATAGAGTCCGTAACTGTTAGAGATAGATTAGGAATAATCTTATATTTTCTTGCCCTTATAGTATAGTTCTTAGTATTACTGTGTCCTTTTAGTAGTGTGGTTCTCTTACTTATTGTCCAAGTCTTTGTAATCTATATAAATCCCTTTGTGGTTTCATAATAATACACACTACTATTCCTAAAACTCCTATATGGTATCAGAGCCTCAAGCTTAACAACCTTGATCCAGGAACCCTAAAACCTTTTTTTCCCCTTCACCACCGAGATGAGTCCCCACTCACCCGGTTAATTCCCTCCTCCCTTCCGCAGTCTTGTTCTTTATCTTGCTTTTTCTTTCCCGTAGCTAGAATCTTAATGAGTTTGGTTTTCCTTTCTCAATAAAAAAACCCTATGCTAATTGTTTCTTGTCCTGCACCCCTAGCCATTATCCCTAATTGCTTGCTTCCCAATCCCAGCCCCACGTCCCAAGCAGTAACAATTCTAGCTTCCAATTGCCACTCTCCCAAAAGCATTCGTTCATTCACTATCATCATCATTATTTTTTGTTGCAGATTCTGATAGTTGTTTTGTGCTCTGTCGATTGACCACTGCCGCATTGTCAATGGAGAGGAAGATCCGGTTTTTACAGCCGATGTTATCGTTCTTATCTTATTTTCAGATTGTTGCGGAATTATATGGCGGAGCCACGGTCATCCTCCAGCCATCTCTTCTTCACGTGTATGGAACGAAGAAAGCTTCTCCGACAACGGTCATTCAAATGAATGCCTTGTGTCCTACACCAGTTTACGTTTATTGGTATCGTTAAAACCAATTGATTATTGTTCATCTCGTTTCCGGTCAATTTTTGACGACGAGTGAGTTTCGTTGCAACGTATGAATTGCAAGTTTGATGATTTCTTCTTCTCCAAGACGACGGTTAGTTGGCTTCGCTCTTCAAGCACGAGAGTTCGACGAGTTTGCAGCACATTATACACCATCACATTGTGATAGAAACTTATATTTTAGTACTTGATTAATTGTCGGTTTATTATTATTCGGATTATGAGGACTATTCGGGAATAATTGATAGATTGGGTAGTAGTGGAAAATTAGTCACTTCTATATAAACTATTGTAAGTTAGAATTAGGGTTAAGAAAATAATTAATCAAAAACCCTAAACCTCTTTCTCTCACTTCCCTCTGCCGACCCCACCCCCTCCCTCTCTTTCCTCTGCTGCGTACAGCAGCCTTTCCCCCTCCCCTTTGCTCTTCTCCAATCCCTCTTCAATTCCCTTGTCCCTTTCTAAACCCCGGATCAATCACTAGTTGATCCCAATTCCCTAAAACATCGGTAGAGCTCTCCTTGAGTTCTATCATTTGGTATCAGAGCCCCGTTCTTTCTTGGGTTCCGGAGCAAACGAATAACGACGAGCACGATGGTATCGACGAAATCGATGCAAGCAGCTGAGAAGGCCGCCAAGGCGGCGGCGCAGGGACAAGCCGCACTCGCGGCCACGTCGGGACTGCCGACGGCTGGTGCGGGCGGTAATGAGGTCCCGGTTCCGCGGGATGGGGATATGGTGGATGAGACGCCAGGAGAAGAGCTCCGCGCTGAGATGACCAAAATGGCGGAGGCCATGGAGCAGGAGCGCCGGTCCCGACTGAAGGGCGAACGAGCTCGGGAGGCGAAAGTGCGAGCCCGGGAAGCGGAGTCGCAGAGGGTGTGGCTCGCTATTGGTGAGCTGAAGGCAATGGTGGCGGAGGCCCTGGGGCGAGCAAGAGGAGGCGACGGCGGCACCACCGGAGGCACGGGCTCGCCGGCGGTCGCCGCGGCGGGCGGATCCGACGGAGAGAGCTCGGCAGCGGTAGGCGGAGGCGGCGCGGCGGGCGGAGGCGGCGCGGCCGCCGATGGAGGAGTGACGGCGCCGGGGGCGGTGGCAGCTGGCCCAGGCGGAGAAGGCGCCGGTGGGGCGGACGGCGGTTGAGGGCGGGCCGGGAACCGGCGGAGGTGGAGCGAGGACAGGCCCGACGCAGGTAGGGCTAGGTGTGGGCCCGGGTCTGTTACCGACGCCTACGGCCCAAGAGATTGCGGCCCGGAAAGGAAAGGCCAAGATGGCCGGTTATGACATAGACGGGCCTCCTATCAACAGTGGGCCGGAGCTGATGGGCCAATACACGAAGATCCATAACGGGCTGGGGTGGTTGGATCTGGAGGATGGGCCCGAGTGTGACGAACTTAGCCTGACGGACCGACAGGCCAAGTGGGCTGAACCGGAGGTGGACCAGAGGGGGCCGAATGGGCCGGGGAGGATCGCGGAACCGGTTGGGCGGCCAAGGGCGGCTCTCATGGGCCGGACCGAAGGGGGCCGGACCGAGACCGGTCAAGCCGGGATCGGTCGGACCGACGCTGATCGAACCGATGTGAGTCGAACCGGGCCAGGTCGGACCGGGATGGGTCGATCGGAAGTAGGTCGAACCGGGCATCGCCCGAGTCCGACGGCCCAGCAGTACAGGAGGGTGGACTACCGGGAACCAGCCAGCTGGGAGGTTCCGTACGGGGCGGCTCACGCGCCAGGAGGGTACCTGAACCTGCAGGGCAACTACCCGGGTGACTATGGCCATGAGAATCCGAACCGGATGCCGGGCTCTTCTTTTGGGCAGCCTTGGAGGACTCCAGGGAATGACAGGTATGGGTCCCACTACATGAATTATGAGGGAATGGATGGAGTAGTTTTTCGAGCTAAGCCTCCGACCATTGAGTTTCCCAAATTCAATGGGCAAGAGGATGCAGGTCTTTGGTTGTATGCAGTGGAGAGGTGGTTTAGAAACCACCCGGTCCCGGAGGAGAGGAAGGCCTATCTGGCGTCGTTTTATCTGGAGGGAGATGCGCTCCAGTGGTGGGAGTGGATGGAACGGTCCTACGCCGCTGCAGCCACCTCGATCACTTGGCCTATGTTTCAGGAAGAGTTCCGTTATCAGTTTGGGAAGTCAGATGGGTGGGCTCCCGAGCAATTGGCAAAACTAAAGCAGACCGGCACGGTGGCTGAATACCGTGCAGAGTTTTTCAAGTTGGGGAACCAGTGTAAAGGAGTCTCAGAGGACACCTTGGTGGGGCTGTGCATGGCGGGTCTTAAGCCCGAGATAGCGGCGGCAGTCCGGGTGTTCGAGCCTGATTCCCTGAAGGCGGCTTTCCGCCTTGCAGGTCATAAGGAGGAAGAGCTCGCTAGTTGGAGGAGCGCCATTGGCCGATTTCCGAAGCCAAGCGAAGGGGGAGGGAGCAGCGGAAGTAGTGGAGGCGCAGGAGGAGCACCAGGGGTAGGCTCGATCGGGGCTAACACTGGCAGTGGAGGCCTCGCCCCGGTGGCCAGGATGGGGCCGCGGGCCATACCTAAAGGTTTCGCTCGACTGTCACTAGCCGAGATTGAGCAAAAGAGGCGGGAAGGCAAGTGCTTCAAGTGTGATGGCCGATTCACCATTGGGCATCAGTGCCCCAAGGAAGATTTGATGATGCTAGTGGGACGGTGGGAGGATGACGCAGAAGACTATGCTGAGGATGCCGGAAATGATGCAGAGGAGACCTCGTGAGCTAGAGGATCAACCTTGGGGACAAGGTTGATTTTCGAAGGAAGCGGGGATGATAGAAACTTATATTTTAGTACTTGATTAATTGTCGGTTTATTATTATTCGGATTATGAGGACTATTCGGGAATAATTGATAGATTGGGTAGTAGTAGAAAATTAGTCACTTCTATATAAACTATTGTAAGTTAGAATTAGGGTTAAGAAAAGAATTAATAAAAAACCCTAAACCTCTCTCTCTCACTTCCCTCTGCCGACCCCACCCCCTCCCTCTCTTTCCTCTGCTGCGTACAACAGCCTTTCCCCCTCCCCTTTGCTCTTCTCCAATCCCGCTTCAATTCCCTTGTCCCATTCTAAACCCCGGATCAATCCCTAGTTGATCCCAATTCCCTAAAACACTGGTAGAGCTCTCCTTGAGTTCTATCACATTGCGGGGGCGTGTTCTTCAAGATTGGCGTATTTTGGTCAAGATTGATGTTGTTCTTCACACCATCATCTTGCGGGGGCGTGTTAGAGATAGATTAGGAATAATCTTATATTTCCTTGTCCTTATAGTATAGTTCTTAGTATTACCGTGTCCTTTTAGTATTGTGGTTCTCTTACTTATTGTCCAAGTCTTGTAATCTATATAAACCCCTTTGTGGTTTCATAATAATACACACTACTATTCCTAAAACTCCTATAGTAACCAATGGTTACTGACCTGTCAGTAATTAAATTCGGACCGTAGATCTAGGTATGAAATTATCATATGGTTGGGCTGCACGCGGAGTGAGGAGGAGCATTTTTGTCTGATTTTTGAAATTTGATTTTTTTAATTTTTTCAGCATTTATATGTTGTCTTTTAATGGAGGAAAGAGAAAATCATACTTCTCTCTTCCTCTCTCTTTTCTCTTTATCTCTTCTTTTCTCTCTTCCAAACTCCTTTTTCCATATCTAAATCTCCTTTCTTCTCTTGTTCTTCATTTTTTTCTCCAACAATCGACGAAGAAATTGCAGCCTCTCACCTCAAATCCGGTGACGCTCCAAATCCTTCTTCTCTCAAGCTGCTCCTTCCTTCTGTTTTTTTCTTTTCTCGGCCTCAAAATCGATGACGCTCCATATTGTCAAAGAGGGGACAGATCTAGGTGAATCGAGTTTGCATCTTTTGTGTTTTAGTATTTGTTTGTGAATTAATTCCGATCTTCGTCCTCTTTTTCTTTCTTTTTGCATTTGGTGTTCTTGATTGCGGAGGAGTAAATGAGAGGAGACAGAAGACGAGTTTTTTTTCTCTTCCTCGTTCTGTTTCCCCTTCTTTGAGAATATATATTGACATTACCACACTATACCATATGGTAATGTGTGCTAACTAAATGTATTTTTATAGTCACGAGTTTTATCATGGTGGTAGTGGGTGGTAATCGACACCAGTTCCGAGAAAGAAGAGTTAGAAGACAATGAAGGGAGAGAAGAAAGTCGTAATTGTATATATATTGAGATTACCACACTATATCATATGGTAATGTGTGGTAACGAAATGTATTTTTATGAATATCATGTTTTTACTATGGTCGTAGAGGGTTGTAATTAGATTTATATGGTTTTACCTTCTCATACCATGTGGTATTATATGGTAATTATAATTAATTTGTGGTCCTTTGATTTACCATGTTCTACTATGGTGGTATTGTATGCTAGTTAGATTTATAATTTTCTGTAGCGTGGTTTACCAAGTTATACCATGTGGTGGTAGTTTGATTTGTAATTTTATTTTAGCATGTTATACCATATGGTATGGTAATTAGATTTGTAAATTTCTGTAGCATGTTTTACCACGTTATACCATGTGGTATTTTATGGTAGTTAGATTTTTAATTTTCTTAAACATATTTTACCATGTGGTATTGTATGGTAGTTAGATTTGTAATTTTCTTCAACATATTTTACCATGTTTTACCATGATAGTAGAAAGTGATAATCATATTTATACTTGTAATTAGTGTCTTTAACACTATATTATTTAACGAAAAAATCATCATTCAATTTGAGATGGAATTAGTTTAGAGATAGCAAGGATGGTTAGATTCATTTTTGTTGTAGATGGGAGAGAGAAGAAATAATGTATTTTTTATTTTCATAATAAAATAATAAAAAAGAGTGAGAGCGAGAGGGGAACCAGACAACCAGTGTGGGGTGGGGGAGTGGGATCCGCGTCTGGTCAAAAAGTCAGCGTCAACGTCATCATTAAATAGGGGATGCAATTTACCTTAATGCCCCTCCGTGTTTATTTTAAATAAAAAGAAAATGCTGACACGTGGGGACAGACGATTAGATTACTGACAGTTACTGATAGCAAGGATACTGACCTGATCTGGTCCCCATACATGCAACCACATATAGTTACTTAACTAGAAAGCTTCGTCCTTTGTTTCCTATTACCAAGCATTCTCACGGGACGACATCTTCATTCATACGGGGAGCAACAACTTTTGCTGGATTCATTGGCGGAGGCAGGCTTTTTGGGCCTTGTCTCGGGACAGTGGTAAATTTCGGAATAACAAAAATATGCCAAATATATTTATATTGGTGATGGAACACAACACGTATAAGTAATATTAGAGTATTTAGTTACTACAACACAACTCATTAGTTGTTAAGAAATTGACATAAAATTAACTTATTATACTATAAACGAATTTCAATTGCAATAAAGACCAAATCAGATCTCTTTTCTCCTTATGCCTATTCAATCTTTTCTTCAACAATCCTGAAATTGTCTAGGGACAGCGGCAATCCCACTCATTTTTTATTCTGCCAATTACAACCGCAAGTGTAGAAAGAGCATTTTTCAGTTTTGAGTTATATTAAGAACAAATTTCCAAGTCGATTTGGCAACCAGTTTGCTAGTGCTTGTTTAGTGAGATACATTGAAAGAGACTTATTTAATAGTGTAGATAACGAATGCTTTTGTGTTTCTTTCACAATATAAAAGCTTGGTTGTTTATGAAAATGATAATTGTATAGTCGGTTATTTTTAATCAATGAATGAATGAATTATTTGGATATAATAATTTTTTTATTATTTTCCAAGAAATAATTCCTAATTAAATACTTATATATTTATGTTATGAAAGGAGGACATGAGTGCTTTGGAAAGCTGCCTCCGTCACTGGTTAGATTCGTCCACAAGGTCGGGTTGTTCCTCATCTCTGCACTCATCACTCCTTCTGCATCCTCCCTCGTCATTGAAATTTTGTATTTTCGATCTCTGCGAAGAATTTTGTGTACCACTGGAATTTTTGTACAAATTGTAAAAATGTTTCATTTCCAAGAGGAGGGGGCTAAAACTATGGTTTGAACTCCCCTATTTCTGGTGCTTCTTCCAATTCCTCCTCTGTATGTTCAAAAGAAGCTAATTTCTGAATTCGCGAATATAATCACTATCTTGTTCTACTAGACTATCACTAATCAACCTATATGAGCTTAATTGCTTTAACTACAATTAGGGATTTTTTCAGAAATGACACCATTAATGTTTTTTACAAAAATAGCACCCAGCTCACAAAAATTACAAAAATAGCACCTTTATTTTAAAACTGCACCTTTACATGTGAACCGCACGTCCAAGGTGCGGTTTATATGTAAACCGCATCCTGAGAGAGCGGTTTAAGGTTCTGGGCCAAAACTGCATCTTGGCCATGAGATGTTGTGTTTGACCTAACAGAACCGCATGGCCTACGTGCGGTTCTGTTTCTCCAACACAAACCGCACCCTCAACATGCGTTTTTGCCCTTGCCGACACACAAACCCCCCCCCCCCCCCCCCAAATGTGGTTTGTGTGTCGTCCCCATTTTCCCAACATCCACTATGTTGCCATGCAGGTTGACAGACGTGGGGCTGCATGACAGATGAAAACCGCACCCTCCCCATGCAGTTTTCATTGATGATTTTGCCTATAAAGGTAAGCCCGGAAAACCTCTTCTCTTCACACCTCTCCTTCTCCCTTTTCAATTTTCTGTTGTAGCTCCATACTTCTTTATTGTTTTTGCGGTTAACGTTATCTCGTAAGTTTATTTTGTACTACTTTTTATTGTGATTTGTGATTTTTATGATACTAACTTAACTACGATTTTTTTGCAGATGGCATTCCAAAAGTTCACGCTTGGATTACGGTAGAATGGTTACACGAAAGAGACCGGAAAGGGGGTTACCTACGTCGGTGGCAATTTTCAGAAAATAAAGATCGCTACCAGACCGATGCTTGAAGACCTCTGTCAAATGTGTACTAACGTTACTTGCATGGATGGCACGAGAAGAGTTGATCATATGGTGTACCGATATCCAAATAGATAAGGGGGGTCGTTGTGGCATGAGGAATATCTCATAACCACTCAGGATGAAGTAGATGTCATGCTCGAATTCTTGAGGTCCAATAATCTTTCCAAAGCTGAGATGTTCGTTTACACCAAGGCGGTCGTAGACGTTGGAGGTCATTCTTGAGACGGTCAAACATCTGGTATCCATGGTGGAGGTGAATTATACGAAGATCATCCCTACCAAAGTTACCATGATCCTCATTCCTTTTTTCAGTACCATGAGCAAGGTGAATGTCATCATCAATCTTTCCCATCATATGAAGAAGAAGTTCAACCGGACCATGCCAACCAACCCGAGTACAACTTCCAATAAGGCAGTGGTAGTTTTCACAACTACCATTATGCAGCTGATGAAGGTGCCTTTCATGATCTGGATCAGATGGAAGATGCCCTGCCAGCACCAGTTAGTGACCCCTCCGATGAAGAAGGAGAGAACAACGTCAGTGCAGACAGCTCCGACCCTTTTGAAGGTGTTGATGATTCAGGACCAGAGTCAGACTTAGATAATGATGATGAGGTGGCTCGTGACCGTGTACCAGTCACCTACTACAATCACATTCCATACGACAATTGGTGTGTCGACAGCGATATGGAGCCGCCAAAGGTCCCAGTATGGGGTCCACTCACTGGGTTTATGAAGGGCCAACAATTTGGCTCGAAGAAGGAGGTGCGGCACACCATTGATACTGAAGCAATGACTCGACATTTTGAATGACACACAACTCATTCCAACACGAAAAGGCTCATAGTCAGATGCCATAATCAACACGAGGGATGCAATGTTAGGATTCGGGTCATCAACAACAAGAGACACGGCCATTGGGTCATATCCCGTGCGGTGAACACACACACATGTGTGTCATCCATAACATCTCAAGGTCATCGATAGTTGAAATCCAGGGTGGTTGTCGCGGCTATCAAGCATCTAATTGAGCAAGATCCTGACCTGAAGGTGAAAGTCATAATCGTTGACATTACAAGTCGTTATGGTTATATTATAAACTATAAGAAGGCGTGGCATGGAAAGCAGAAAGCTCTGGCCGGCGTCTTTGGTGACTGGGAAGAATCATATGCATTCCTTCCCAGGTTGATTTTGGCATTGGTAAAATGAGTACGTACCGCTTGAAATTCATCATAATAAACTCCCTCTTCTTGGAACCACTCGTCCATTTTTTCGCGAAAGTCGGACAGAGATTCGGCGGGTTTTGAAGAAAAAACCAAAGAAATATTTTCTAATGGCAGATCGGACTTAGTCGCAACTAACAGACCACAATTTCCTAGGCTTTTGGGAGGGGAGGGGGATGAATAGAGAGATAATTTTAGAGAGAGAGTGAAGAATGGGTTGTGGTGTGAAAAAATGAGGAGGGGAGGGGGGTATTTATACTTTGCAGACCGCACCCTCCAGGGGTAGTTTAGTAATTTTGCCCTTGCCAAAACCGCATCTGGAGGGTGCGGTTCATGCTTCACGAGGCGCAAAACCGCAGCAAGGAGGTGCGGTCTTCAATCCTCTACACGGATCGCTGAGCTGGCGTGCGGTCTGTCGTCGGATCGCCGCCTAATCCAACGGTCTTGGGGGCCGTTGCGTCGGAAACCCAAACCGCACGCTGATGATGCGTTTTTCTGGCTGACGTGGCAAGGGCCGCACCTCCAAGGTGCGGTTTCTAGATAAAACGCACCTTGGAGGTGCGGTTTTAAAATAAATGTGCTATTTTTGTAATTTCTACGGACTGGGTGCTATTTTTGTAATTTTTTTAAAGGGTGCTATTATTGAAAAAATCCCATACAATTATCATAATTATCATAGGTGATCTCGTATTAGTGATCCTCCATAACACGTGAGCACCTTTTCCAATCATACTCATGTAATGCACAATGATTAGCCCCACAAATTTCTTGTTTGGTTAATATATAAGCAATATCACAAGCTCCTTTGTGTTAAAGAGAATATAAAAAAATTAAAAGAAACAGCAGAGATGGCAAAAATATCTGTAATCATGGATATCCGCCTGAATCCGACCTAATAGGTTAGGGTAAAACGCGAACCAGAAAGACTTTTAGTGGATATGGATAAAATTCGAACCGAAATTTTGTGGATAATGAGTGGGCATGGTTTTCTCACTATCTAACCAGAACCCGTCCGATTATACACATGCATATGTATTTTGTCAAGAAATAATCAATATTTTTCTCTAGTATATTTTATATTTAGCATATAAATATAATATTTTCATGAATTTGTGTTGTTTTAATTAATTTTCTTCATTCTAGTGAATTATTGTTGTATTTTTCCTCTTACATAATGTGAGTATACGTGTAAATGTTAGCATATTGGTTGGACTTATAAAGAGAAATTATTATCCATGGATAAACATAGATACCCGAAACCCAACGGATATAATCATGATTTTGATTTTCTACCCATTTCTTGTGTAAGTATGGGTATGGATAAAACCTTAACAACATTTGAGTAGGATAACGGATACACTATCCGCCCCGACCCGCCTAATTGACATCACTAGCAAACAATTTATAAAAAAATAAAATTAATGAAAAACAATTTTTTCGCGGCAACCATCAAATCACGATCCTTCGCTCTCGCGGTTTTGACTCTGTCTATCCGATTCCGTCGCGAGCGTCCACGACATTCCAGCTAGGGATGGCAACAAAATCCGAACCCACGGGTACCTACCCGACCCAACCCTGTCAACGCGGGTAAAATCCGTGTTGACGGGTTTTGGGTCGGGTTTGGGTTTAAACCCGTTCATTATTCAACGGGTTGGGTTGGGTTTGGGTTTAGGTAAACCCGGCCCGTGGGTACCCGCCCACCCATATAATTAATTTTTTCGGTATATTTAATATTCTAAACAACTAATCTTATTTATGTTTGTGGAGACATGTCTAATTTTTTCTTTTTAATTGTGTAGAATCAAGTTGATGTTATGGAGTGGAGAGTAAAGAAACTTAATTGAAAGGAAGAAGCTTTCAATTAAACATGTTATTTATGGAAAATTTGTGATTTGCTTCAATTTGTTTGAGTTTTCTAGATTGGTGTTGAACAATTTGTATAGTTAATTTGTGATTTGCTTGAATTTTCTAGAATGGTGTTTTATATATGGATAATTTGTATTGAGAGATTGATATTTGACTCTTATTTTGATAAGAAATTGTAATTGTAAATTTTTTACGACAAAACCCGTGGATACCCATGAACCCGCGGATACCCAACGAGTTGGGTTGGGTTTGAGTTTTTCAAACCCAGTGGGTTTTACCCCGGGTTTTTTTCAAAGATAAACCCATGAGTTTGGGTTTGGGTTTGGCAAAACCCGACCCTACCCGACCCATTGCCATCCCTAATTCCAGCTCCTTCTAGTTTAGTGTCTTAGCAAATCGTCGTCGTATTTGACGCAAACCGCCAACTAACGCCGTGAATGCCCGCGAGAAGGAACATATTAAATTTCCCGAGAAAAATAAAACAAACAAAAGCGGAAAAGCCATAATAGCCATCAACGGCGTTGGTTGGCTCCTCGTAATCATCGGGAGAGGATTCCAACTTCGAGACGGGAGCGGAGAACAAACGTCTCACCTTCCTATTGGTTGGAGATAACCGAGTCGGCCAATTCCCCGGCTATAAATTGAACCCTCAACTTCCCCTTTCTTCACCACAATTCAATCTCAAACAACCTATCCTCCTAATCAAATTTCCGATTCAGAGCTTTCCTCTCTCAAGGTAAAGGATCTTGAACTCGATCCCTCTGTCTTTCTGTTCTTTATGTTTCTCTTGGAATTCTGGTTTCTCGTATATTAGGTGAAAAAAGCCTTCGATCTAGGAACCCTAGGATTTCTTCGTTCTTCAATTCAGTAAGATAATCGGGAAGCATTCTGGATATTGGAATTAGGGTTTCTTCGTGCTGTTTGTTTGATCGTATATCTCGTATTCAATCAGATTATCGGACAAAATTATGGATTTCTGAGTTACGTTTCTTCGTTCTGTTTATTTGATCGTATGTTGAACTTACTCGTGCTGTCGATTATGTTTTGCTTGATCTTTGATCCGATAGTTCTTCGATTCTGGTAATTTTGTTGGCGTATTGCTCAGTTAGGTTGGTTATGTTTGTCTGATCGTATTCAATAAGATAATCGGGGTGAAAATATGGATTTTTGAGTTACGATTCTTCATTCTGCTTACTTGATCGTACATTGAATTTACTCGTGCTGCCAATTACCCTTATGTTGATCTTTGATAAGATAGTTCTTCAATTCTGGTAATTTTGTTAGCGGATTGCTGAATTAGGGTTCTCCGATTTTGTTTACAGATGCAGATCTTTGTTAAGACACTCACCGGGAAGACTATCACTCTTGAGGTCGAGAGCAGCGACACCATCGACAATGTTAAGGCGAAGATTCAGGATAAGGAGGGAATCCCTCCGGACCAGCAGAGGCTGATCTTTGCCGGCAAGCAGCTGGAAGACGGGAGGACCTTGGCTGATTACAACATCCAGAAGGAGTCGACCCTTCACCTGGTTCTCCGTCTGCGTGGAGGCATGCAGATCTTCGTCAAAACCTTGACTGGAAAGACCATTACTTTGGAGGTGGAGAGTTCTGACACCATTGATAATGTCAAGGCGAAGATCCAGGACAAGGAGGGAATCCCTCCGGATCAGCAAAGGCTCATCTTCGCTGGTAAGCAGCTTGAGGATGGCAGAACCCTCGCTGACTACAACATCCAGAAGGAGTCGACTCTCCATCTCGTTCTGAGGTTGAGGGGAGGTATGCAGATCTTTGTGAAGACCTTGACTGGGAAGACCATCACCTTGGAGGTTGAGAGCTCCGACACCATTGACAATGTCAAGGCGAAGATCCAGGACAAGGAGGGCATTCCCCCAGACCAGCAGAGGCTTATCTTCGCCGGGAAGCAGCTCGAGGATGGAAGAACCCTTGCTGACTACAACATCCAGAAGGAGTCTACCCTTCACCTTGTCTTGAGGCTCAGAGGTGGTATGCAAATCTTTGTGAAGACTCTGACTGGTAAGACCATCACTTTGGAGGTGGAGAGCAGTGATACCATTGACAATGTCAAGGCCAAGATTCAGGACAAGGAGGGCATCCCACCAGACCAGCAGAGGCTCATCTTTGCAGGAAAGCAGCTCGAGGATGGGCGAACTCTGGCCGATTATAACATTCAGAAGGAGTCAACTCTCCATTTGGTGCTGAGGCTTAGGGGAGGGATGCAGATCTTTGTCAAGACTCTTACTGGGAAGACTATCACGTTGGAGGTGGAGAGCAGTGACACCATTGATAATGTGAAGGCCAAAATTCAGGACAAGGAGGGTATTCCACCAGACCAGCAGAGGCTGATCTTCGCTGGCAAGCAGCTTGAAGATGGAAGGACTTTGGCTGACTATAACATTCAGAAAGAGTCAACCCTCCACCTTGTCCTTCGTCTGCGTGGTGGCTTCTAAAGGGTTGTTCTTGTCTGTTGTTGCTGTGGATGTGTCTGTAAGTCTGTTGATGATGGTTTGAAGGTTGTTGGACTTATGATGGATATTTGAAGAATGTTTTTTTAAGTTTCTGGTGCATGAGGTTAGCCTGGTGTCTCCTCTAGTTCCAAGCTTTGTTTCTTTCAGGTTATGTTGGCCCTGGTGGCCTTGTGAACAGTTATGTCTCTCTTGTTTTTCTGTTGAATAAAATTGTCGGAAGTATTTCGTGTCTATGGTAAATATTTCTTCATTGAGATCCTCGTGTTGCATGATTTCTGCAGCTTAGCCAACTAAATCTGGACCATTTGAGTTCCTTGTTCTTTTGTTAGGTTCTCAGTCTGCCATGCGCATACCTCTTCCAATCGTGACTTGATCTACCGTCAGTTGAAAACCAACCACCTCACAATTCCGGATGCAGTTGAACCTTAGGTTACAGAGTCCGCTGGAAACTTGTGTTGTTCTTGAAAGATGATCTCAGCTTTTGTATTTAAAAACTCCCCTTTGGTATTTTAACTTTGGCTCCTACTTCTGATCTCTCCTTTGATACCCAACTTCAGTTACTGTTTCAACTGGGCGTTCGTCTTCAGAGACCCGTAACCTCTAGAAATCGTTCGAACACAGACAGCACCAGTACTGTCGTCCATCCAAACTAGACTACCAAATTTTGCAGCGATGTTCTCCGCCATTATAGTTGTTCTCAGCTCCGCTAATGACAAGCCTTCGGTTTATGGAACGCATTTACGCCCTCAAAAACTAGCATGTTACTGTCAAAATGCTATGATCCTCCATAGATCCATCCCCAGCAGTTGAAACACAAACATGTTACCAAGGTCTGTAATTTAAGAAACTATACAAGAAAGAGAACGTTTGCCTCGAGAAAACTATCTACACGATGCGGAAAAACCCATCGGGGAAAAGTCTTACAGCTATTACAGAAGTAAGAACTCATACATGCAACTACACCATCTATGTAGTCACTTTTAACTAGAAAGCTTCCTCCTCTGTTTCCTACAGAGCATTCTCACGGGACGACATCCTCATTCAGACTGGCAGCCGCAACCATGGAAGCAGCAACACCAGCCGGATTCGTCGACAGAGTCGGGTTGTTCCTCATCTCTGCACTCATCACTCCTTCCGCATCCTCCCTCGTCACCACTTTATCCGCCGGCAACTTCCCCGCTGCATCCTGAAAATTCCACCAATTTCCCCTGAATTAGTTCCAACAAGTCCCCATCTTTCCATACCATATAAAAAAAAAACCCCAATTACCACTTAAAATCAGAACCCCTAATTATACCCAGAGCACATCATTGAGCTTGATCTTCTCCTCGTCCCTGTCCGTCGCAGCATTGTGCGTCGCCGCCGACTGCGCCGTCGCAGCAAGCCCGCCGGGAACCGTAACGCTGCTCCCTGTCGCTCTCGTCTCCGCCGCCTGAATCGCGGCGGCATCGCTCTGATCCACCGGCCTATCTCCAGAAGTCCTCCCGGTCGCCTCCAGCGCTTCCCCAATTGTTATCGCATTCTGCGCCGCCACAACTCCACCGCCGCCGTGGACGGGAGCTGGCTGGACGAATTGCCCCAAAACCTGACCGCCGACGCTCTCGGTGATTATCCGGGCGCCCGGGATGTCGGTCTCCGACACCATCACGCCTTCGCTGCTCACCGCATCGGTGGCCTGGCGGTGAGCAACGAGGCCGGCCCTCTCGTTGAACGTCGCGGCGGATTGCATCGCGGCGGCCGGACCGCCCTTCTGGGTCTTTCCGAAGACCATGGTCTCGGCGCTCTGCATCATGTTGGCGTCTTCAGGGGCGATGGGCTTGGACGCGAGCTCCCCCGAGACGTCGAAAACGTCGCCGTATCTGATTGGATCGAGTTCCTCCTGCCCTGCCGCTGCACCAAATTGCTGCTGCGGCTGTTGGTCCGGCCTTCTTGGCTGTCCCTGACTCATCGTATTACGAAAGGCTGTAGCTATCTCCGTGAAGAGAAAACTCTGCTAACAGAACAGACTGTTGAGGTTTGGGAATTTGAGATCGATGAATTGGATTGGATTGGATTGGATTCTAGTGTGCGGACATTTGGAACTGAGCTATATACAAGGAAGGTAGCGGTGACGTGTCGAGAGAAGGAGCGAGGCGGTGTGCCTTGTCATGGTACACGTGGCGAGGTTTGGGAGATGCATGGTGCTGCTGATATTTTCTGATAGCACTGGGAATTGTCGGGTGGCATTCCTAGTTTCCACGTGGCAAGTAGGGGTTTCTGGCTTAGCTATGACCTATGAGATGTTGGCCAGCAACGTAAATGAGCTCCCTCAGTTACGTAGGGACAGTCGGAAGTCAAAGGGCGATGGTAATAAAAGAAGTCTCTGATGTTTTTAATGGTAATAAAAGAAGTCTCATTTGACGAATGAGATTATGAGAAAGAGAGAGCCTTCTGCTTAATTAGCAATTGACATTGGTCAGAGATTTGTGAGGTAAATATATAAATTGGCAACTCAGTCTCTGATTAATTAGTATTTAGTAATATAAACATCCTGATTTACTTAGACTTCTAATAATATTGTTAATCTAGTCTATTCATTGGTCAACGGCTACATACAAAGTGAAAATAAAGGCTGATCCTTGTAGCATGAAATTATAAAACCAATTTGGAAGGCCTTTTTAATGAAATTTTGATTTAGCCTGTTTCGTTGGCGAAACTCGTGTGTTAACTGTGCACGGTTTTCAAGTAAAACACAAAAAAAAACACGCGTCAATCACAACCGTCAAATATCCGCCGCCGAATGTCGGCGCCGTTGATTTGATCGATTAAAGCAGAAACCAAAAACGATCGTCAAATATCCGCCGCCGGTGTCGGCGTCGTTGATTTGATCGATGCACCCTTGACCTCTAATCAAACAACCGTTATTCGGTTCGCACCTCTCCAAACTACGTTCGAACGAGGGTGTTTGAGTTTTGAGGAATCTACGCTACCGCTACTCCTATGGAGATTCCTGTGGAGAGCTCCGCGACTACGGCTACTGCTACAACTATGGAGATCCTTCCTGGAAGGAGAGCTCCGCGAACGAGTTACAGAGAAAAGGTAAAGTTTGAACAGAGTTGTTCTGTGTTGATTTTTCGGCTGTCCTTCTCTCTCCTTGCTCCACTGCTTTTATTCGAAAAACTGCTTCGTAGTCTTCACGCTCGGTGGAACCGCTTCCTCAACTGCTGCGTTGTGAAATCCCACGTGCCTCAACCGCTTCGCTCCTCAAACTGCTTCGCGTGAACTTTACGTGAGTTGTTTTCATGATCCTGCGATGTCGTTTCCTTTCCCAAACAGCTCCGCTTGATTCTACCCGCGACATCGTTTTAATATTAAACGACTCCGCTTCCAGCCTTGCGGTGTCGTTTTCTTTCCCAACCAGCTCCGTTTGTTTTTTTTTCTTCCGCGCCACTGTTTATTATTAAACACTGTCGTTTGCTAGTATAGCGGTACCGTTGGGCTTCCTCGCGGTACCGTTTTTAATTCCGCGGCACCGTTTTAGCTCTCCGCGGTGCCGCTTATCCCTATCCAACAAGGAATATAAATAATAATTAATTATAAACAAAACTCCTTCCCCAACACCTACAGTACGCGGCCCCTCTCCAGTTTCGCGGTACCGCCAAGCTTCCTCGCGGCACCGATTTTTTGTTTCGCGGTATCGATTGAACTCTCCGCAATGCCGCTCGACTCCAAACGACACCGTTTTTTTACCCGCGGTATCGAATTAAATGCCGAGACTAATTAATACGGCATTTAATTTAGTCCAAAAATATTTTAGGTGTAAACAATGCCCCCCACAACTTAGTTTATAAGATCCAGTTCTTATGAACTAAGTTGTTGACACAACTTATACCACCTAAAATAATTTCGAAACCACGAGGGCTAAACCCAGAAACAACTATGATGGCAAATTACACAGCTCGCCATACAACACTGGCGGCCAATGCAGCATCGGTTTCACCTCATGCAATGTTGCTTGGGTGGAAAAATAAACAAGGTTATGTGAAACAGCCATGCAAGCAAGACCTACGTTGCTGATTAGTGGCTCGCAGGCTGCAATAGTTCGCAACCTTGTGTGTTCAAAGTTTCCAACAACTGCGTTTTGGTGCTATATTATCTTCCTAACTAAACCATAATTGGCTTAATTGTTTTATTTATGTTTCCTTCAACTGTGCGAGAAACCTTTATCAACAAGGAAACAAACATTCAACACCACTGCAACGCGCCGCAGGGATGCAATGTTGCTTCAACCAAAGCGGCAGTATCTTTTTTTATTATTATTATTACCAGGGCTGCTAGTAATGGAGGCAGCGCCCTTTATATATATATATATATATATCAGAGCTGCTAGCAACAGCGCTGCACGCACAAAAATTTTTAATTTTTTTTTTTTTTTTTTATCATGCCTGCTAGCGGCAGCGCTGCCTGCCAAATTCTTTTTTTTTATATATGTTTTTTCCGCTACCAGCGCTGCTAGCACCAGGCCTGCAAATTTTTTTTTTTTTTATATTATTCTCCACCAGAGCTGTTTGGAACCAGCGGCAGAGCTGCATAATTTTTTTTATTTTTTTATTTTCCGCCATAGCTGTTTCGAAACAGCGGCAGAGCTGAATATTTTTTTTTCAACCAAAGCTACCCAATCTAAAAATTTAATATTGTTCGCAACGATGCGGCAAGCTTCGCCATGCTACTTTTTATATATATAGTAATTTTCTCGTGGCCTAAATTAGCCACACTCTATTTACTTAATGATATCTAAATAAATAAATAACGGCTAGACTTTGGCATAAATCATTATGCCGAAAGTCCACACCCACTGCCAACCCCATGGATCAAACCAACCAACCCATCCGTAAAGTCCATGATTCATCACAACTGGCTTCACACGCGTTGGTTTTGATGTCTTGGAATCAATGGTGGTTTGTAGCTCTCCAGTTCGTCGAGTTTGAACACCTTGGTTTGAAATTCCACGAGCTCGATTTGGCTTCATCTTAGCCACAGGGTCGTGGCAGAGAAAATCACCAGTGTTTTTTACTCTTGGCGGGACATTGAAGTTTTCTAACGTCTTTGTCCTGTCAAATCGACCATGTGGCATCGCTTGCCCAGACAGGTCTGGTTTTGTCAGCTTCGCACTCTCACCACGTTGCTGTGAGTATAAGCACCGATGCTTACGAGCCTCACCGACAAGTGTGTGAGTGTTTTGTTTACCACGACACTTACCACACATCCACATCGTTTCTTTTGAGCTCCCGTGTGATTTTGGAGTTTGTAGAGTATTATACTTGCCCCCCTGACCACCACTCATGGATTTGTTCCCAGCCAGCACTGGTGTGGCAACCCCATGTCGGGTTTGATCGAACTTGCCCCCCTCTCTCCTCAGTGGAGGTTTTGGGGACAATTTACATAGAGGATTCCGTTGATTCATACCAACTTTGGTGGCATTGGATTTTTTCACGTGGCCACCCCCACACTGCAAAGTTTTTGCTGCTATCCTTGTTTGAATTTTCCTAGAATAGGACAGATTTGGCAAACTTATTTGCCACTTGCGATGTTGTTTTTCCATCAACCGACCATGCGGTGGGATCTCATGCCCCCCTAGCGGCTTAGATTGAACACCATTGCGATGTTGCTTAGACAACCCATCATACGTGAGCTTGCTATGCTCGACGTGATTGTAACCAGGTTCTCGACCCTGGTTCTTGTTTTCAATCTTAATAGAAGTAAGTCGATACTGACTTCTTTGTAGTGGCTTTTGCAAGCCACTTCCAATTGGTGTGTCCTTTAAAACAACGTTGTTCATAGGAATGAACACATTGGATTCACTCACTTCTGGCAACAATGTTGTAGCCATCGACGATGGAGTTTGGTTGACATTAGCTATTCGACCAACCCTCGCATCCTCACACACAACAGACATAGTTCGAGATTTAAACACATCAAAATCATACGTGGCTCCATGTATTAACATATTAAAATCAGAAACAGAGTCGTCCAACTTATCAAACCATTGATCTATGTTTTTTTCAAGATTATCCATTTTTTTATCAAGAGAAGTTAAAATTAGATTTACCTGTTGGCTATCTCTGCTGAGTTGAGCCACTACTTGGCGGAGCATGCACAGCATCTCACCCTGATCGGCGATTTGCACCACTGATTGCACCTCCGCACCGGCACTGTTGCTTGAAGCACTTACGACGTCGTCAACCTCGATGTTGACCAGTTGATCCTCCTCCACAAAGACTTTTGGAAGACCACAATCTTTCTTTCCTCGTCGCAGAGCCATGTCAAACACACGTGTCCCACCAGGTGTGCCAATTTGTTTCGTTGGCGAAACTCGTGTGTTAACTGTGCACGGTTTTCAAGAAAAACACAAAAAAAAAACACGCGTCAATCACAACCGTCAAATATCCGCCGCCGAATGTCGGCGCCGTTGATTTGATCGATTAAAGCAGAAACCAAAAACGATCGTCAAATATCCGCCGCCGGTGTCGGCGTCGTTGATTTGATCGATGCACCCTTGACCTCTAATCAAACAACCGTTATTCGGTTCGCACCTCTCCAAACTACGTTCGAACGAGGGTGTTTGAGTTTTGAGGAATCTACGCTACCGCTACTCCTATGGAGATTCCTGTGGAGAGCTCCGCGACTACGGCTACTGCTACAACTATGGAGATCCTTCCTGGAAGGAGAGCTCCGCGAACGAGTTACAGAGAAAAGGTAAAGTTTGAACAGAGTTGTTCTGTGTTGATTTTTCGGCTGTCCTTCTCTCTCCTTGCTCCACTGCTTTTATTCGAAAAACTGCTTCGTAGTCTTCACGCTCGGTGGAACCGCTTCCTCAACTGCTGCGTTGTGAAATCCCACGTGCCTCAACCGCTTCGCTCCTCAAACTGCTTCGCGTGAACTTTACGTGAGTTGTTTTCATGATCCTGCGATGTCGTTTCCTTTCCCAAACAGCTCCGCTTGATTCTACCCGCGACATCGTTTTAATATTAAACGACTCCGCTTCCAGCCTTGCGGTGTCGTTTTCTTTCCCAACCAGCTCCGTTTGTTTTTTTTTCTTCCGCGCCACTGTTTATTATTAAACACTGTCGTTTGCTAGTATAGCGGTACCGTTGGGCTTCCTCGCGGTACCGTTTTTAATTCCGCGGCACCGTTTTAGCTCTCCGCGGTGCCGCTTATCCCTATCCAACAAGGAATATAAATAATAATTAATTATAAACAAAACTCCTTCCCCAACACCTACAGTACGCGGCCCCTCTCCAGTTTCGCGGTACCGCCAAGCTTCCTCGCGGCACCGATTTTTTGTTTCGCGGTATCGATTGAACTCTCCGCAATGCCGCTCGACTCCAAACGACACCGTTTTTTTACCCGCGGTATCGAATTAAATGCCGAGACTAATTAATACGGCATTTAATTTAGTCCAAAAATATTTTAGGTGTAAACATAGCCATAAAAAAGTTCTAAAAAGTTGGTCTAAGAGTTCTATAGATTCGAGTTACTATTCATTAGTGACTCTCACACTCCTTCAAGTGTAAGTGGTGAAGTTTCAAGTTCTCCTTTTACCTCATTTCTCCATTCTACAACCATTGTGTTTAGCTATTGTTCGCTAGATTTATATTCATTGTTCATTTTGTTTCCCTATAACAATAATTGCCTACTAGGTTTCCAACTCCCTATTACAGCAACTATCGACTAGGTTTTCGTCTATGGTTTTTTTTTCTTCCACAAATCGCCTTTGTCTACCATTTCGCTTTGTGAGAACAGTAACAAAATTGGTCTAAGATTCCTCCATTACCTCTTCGATGATGATTTTCTGAAAGTCTTTTCTTTGTTTCGGATTACCAAGTCATATTGGATTACCATAAACCAGAAAATACATAACTTGAGCAAAACCTATTTACTTGTATTTTAAGTATTTTTTAAAAATTTCCAAAAACATCCAATAAATTCATCTAATGACGATTACAAGGATAATATTCGAGTAAAAATGAATGGATTAGTTTTAGTTATGATTTGTATCATTGTATTAGTCATATGGTAGATTGTGAACAAATTTTAAAATTTAACGATTACTCCACTTCTAGAACTGAGGGGCACGTGTTGCACTATTATTGTGATTACATGATAAAATACATATTTAGTTTACCATTGTTTTTGTACGTGTTGAAAATAACAATTCGTCCTTTTTGATTTGACACTCCTTCAAGTGACTCTCACACTCCTTCAAGTGCAAGTGAGAAAGTTTCAATTTCTCCTTTTACCACATTTCTCCATTCTACAACCATTAGGTTTAGCTATTGTTTTTTTTTTATTATGGTGAAATAGATTGATTAAACCAAAACAAAAGAAAAACAAAGCACAGGAACAAACCGATGATAAAAAGAGCATCAAACGGCAGACACGGACCGCGAAAAGGAAACAAACAAACCCGTGCCATGCCGCGAACAGCAAAATAAAACCAGACAGCGACGCGCAGGCCGCAACCGAGGATCGACGCCAACCGAGGGTTGGGAGAGTATCAAACAAAAAACCCACACTTAGCCAAACCACAAAGCAAAACAGAGCCACAACGGAGCGACAAACAATAGGTTTAGCTATTGTTCGCTAGGTTTATATCTATTGTTGATTGTGTTTCTCATAACAATAATTGCCTACTAGGTTTCCAACTCCCTATTACAGCAACTAACCACTAGGTTTAAGTCTATTGCTTTTTTTTACAAATCATCGTCTTTGTCTATCATTTCGCTTTGCGAGAACAGTAACAAAATTGGTCCAAGATTCCTCCATTACCTCTTCGATGATGGTTTTCTGAAAGTCTTTTCTTTGTCTATCATTTCGCTTTGCAAAAACTATTTACTTGTATTATAAGCATTTTTTTAAAAATTTCCAAAAACATCCAATAAATTCATCTAATGACGATTACAAGGATAATATTCGAGTAAAAATGAATGGATTAGTTTTAGTTATGATTTGTATCATTATATTAGTCATATGGTAGATTGTGAACAAATTTTGAAATTTAACGATTACTCCAATTCTAGACCAGAAGGCACATGTTGCACTATTATTGTGATACATGATAAAATACATATTTAGTTTACCGTTGTTTTTGTACATGTTGAAAATAACAACTCGTCCTTTTTGATTTGACACAATGTCAAATCTTCCCATCGATGCAACCGTAAATCACGAGTCTCATACTAAGCAATTAGAAGAACAAGACTTGGTAAACGCTATTTCCCTAATACATACATCTACCATACCTTTCTCTTTGTTGAAGTTTTTCCCCTTTGATCCCAACTTTACGCCAACTCTTTCTCTCCAACACCATTTCAATGCCTTGCTTGCTATAAAGCCATCCCAATTCCAAATCTCCAATGGATTCTCTTTCTTTCTGTTGTTACTTGGTCGATTTCCCGAGAAACTAACGCTCGTATTTTCTCTCTCGTTCTCTCCCTCTTTGAAGATCGTCTCGAGTGATCTCCTTAGAGGGAGGGAAATACATGTAAGGAGCTAGACATAGAAAATGGAACCCCCAATCAGAAACTACCATACCCTAACTTTTCCAACATTCGAGAAGCCGCCATTGGATTCCGGTGGCAGCCGTCATCTTCGAGAAGGCGTAGGGTTGATTCTTTCTCGATGGAGGGCACTGCAATTGGCTGTTCAGAACCAATGGGGAGGCCATGACTCCCTTCAGAAGTCCCACCAACTAGCAAATGACGTCTTGTGTTGGTTTTTACATTGCAAGGGTCAGCCTAGCTACAACATTTTATTGTATTCTGCAATCTTACTTATAACCATCCTCGATGCAACGATTTGATTCGACATTTTTTTTTTCTCACAGGGCGGCTTCATGTGGAGGATCTCGAGAATTTGTTGCATGAAAATCTCCTGCTCAATTTCAACACCGAGATCGAAGACGGCAGCATCGAGGAGGTGGCAGAACAGCTGATGGTGATGTACGAAGAACACTTGCACAAGAACCATTATCACAAACCCTAATTTAAGGTTTCGATAATACGAGTTTCAGCTGCTAGATCAGACGATGCCAGGCGTGCTGGCCTTGATGATATCTTACGGGTTGTAGCAGGACGATTTTGATTTTGATTTTTATAAAAGATCACAATTTTTGTAATACAAGATGTCGCTTCGTGATGAATCTGGGCCGATCGAGTTGATGTTTAGATGAAATGCGGCCGGATGCATGTATGTATACTTCTAAGTTGATAAAGATTCATCTCTCATTGAACGAAATCATATCGGTTTAAATGATGATCATGGTATCCAATTCATTATAACAAGACGTCAGACATTGAATTTCTTCGGATGAGGATGGTTTACAGTTTATGGTGACTCAATCATATCATCGTTTGGTGAGAGCACTGATATTAGCTATGAAGATCATTAATTGATGGAAGTTTCCTAAGTTACTACTAGAACTAGGAGGAAATTTACCGTATGTCACCTAATTGTGACAATAAAAGTACAACCACAACATCATGAAAATGAAAAAAAATAAAATAATATTAACATGTCTAGTTGATAATTTTGTGAAATTATGATAGTTAGAACTTTTTCTGTGCTTAGTTAATTTATCAGGCCCCGCTTAGTATCACTGTTGAGAATAAGACAAAAGAAGAAAAATAATTCGAGGATAAGAATAGTATGATCTGGTCCCGACCAATGTAATCCGTACCGTTTTTTCAGCCCTAGGGATACATTTTCGTTCCAATTTAGACCATAAAGATAGGCTCAAGATAGAGTGAGTAACCTTAGGGTGAGTAACAATGAGTAACCAAATCTGAACCCTTCTTTTAAGTGACTGCAGATCTGAGGGTGGAGAATTAAAAAAATTTAGTTTCCCTAATTTTCTTAGTTGGATCATATCTTCTTCATTCTAACTCGGATTTCAATTTTTTTGCACAGATGGAACGAGTCCGTTGTGCTCTACAAAATGATATCCATTTTCAATATTTTTTGAGAATTTTTTTTTTCATCTCTCTCATTACCAACTCCATACCATATGGTATCTCCTTCGTTGTTTAGTAATTTTCGGAAATTTTTACACAAAAGGAACGATTTAATCATGATCTATTGGATTTCAAAATTTCCCGGGGGAAAAAATTTCAAACCTCTCGTTACCAACTCTATACCATACTATACCACCCTGGTATGAGGTGATATTTTTCATACCATATGGTATTGACTGATATTAAATAACAGCATATGGTATTGACTGGTATTTTTCATATAATATGGTATGCTGTTATTTAATACCAATCAATACCATATGGTATAGACTGGTAATAACTGGCAAATTTTTTTTGTTCCAAAAAATATCAAAGTGGATATTATTTTGAAGAGCACAATTAATCTGATCTAACTGTGCACAAAAAATTAAATTTCGAGTTAAAACGAGTGAGAAATCGTCCGTTAAAGATTAAGGGAAATAAAATTAATGATTTTCCCAGGAGAGAGAAGGAGGGACTAATGTGGCAAATTCTTATTGGGTTACGCATGAGGTTACTCAGCACAAGCTTACTCACCGGATCTGCTCCGATAAAGATAAAATGCATTAGTTGACGTAATTTTTGGGAAAACCATTTTGTGTGTGTACCAGTTAGTCAACTGAGAAAGGGACTGAGATTAGGGTTTCCCGAACTGTGCGTTGAGAAAACATATGCAAGCTCCCAAGTGATGATTTGGCAAGGTTAGGTTCTCCCCTTGAGATGTTGATTGCCAAATGCCAGGAACTAGGGAGTACTGTATTATCCTTATTCGCCATTGTGCTAATCTGATTCCAAGCTTATGGTTGTTTATGAGAACCCGCACTATATCAGAACAGATAATAAATAAGCTTTCTGATTCCATTTCCATCTCTGTTAAGAAAAATAACTCAATGCCCAATTGCCACCACCCGGATTTCAGTAAATGCTTTCACAACCACCTTTGATTCCTTCCATCATGCATTACCCCAAATGAGTAGTGACAATCCAACAACACTCAGTCCAACCTAAAACACCAGGCCAGGTCTAAAGTTTGTTCCTTTTCCTATCAATGGCAAAACCTCTACCAAACCTCAATACTTTTTTTTGGAAATCCCTCCATTTTCAGGCTGCAACCCAACCATCAGGCATCAACAATGCTTTTCAAGAGAAAACCCAATTTCCCACGCAACCCCAACTCTTCATAATTGCTATCACCAACCTCTTGCCTGGAGTCTACCAATACTGAAAGTTGCCAATCGAATGTCCTCCCAGGCAACTGGAGCAATAAGGGAGGCATTCATCGATTGCAAAACCAACCCCGGAAGTAACATGTCGGCTACAAAGTCAAAGCAAGGGACAACTTCAGATAGGAAAAGATGAACAAAAAACTGAAATAGGGATGGCAACAAAACCCGAACCCACGGGTACCCACCCGACCCAACCCGGTCAACGCGGGTAAAATCCGTGTTGACGGGTTTTGGGCCGGGTTTGGGTTTAAACCCGTTCACTATTCAACGGGTTGGGTTGGGTTTGGGTTTAGGTAAACCCGGCTCGTGGGTACCCGCCCACCCATATAATTAACTTTTTCGGTATATTTAATATTCTAAACAACTAATCTTATTTATGTTTGTGGAGACATGTCTAATATTTTCTTTTTAATTGTGTAGAATGAAGTTGATGTTATGGAGTGGAGAGTAAAGAAACTTAATTGAAAGGAATAAGCTTTCAATTAAACATGTTATTTATGGATAATTTGTGATTTGCTTCAATTTTCTTGAGTTTTCTAGATTGGTGTTGAACAATTTGTATAGTTAATTTGTGATTTGCTTGAATTTTCTAGAATGGTGTTTTATATATGGATAATTTGTATTAAGAGATTGATATTTGACTTTAATTTTGATAAGAATTTGTAATTGTAAATTTTTTACGACAAAACCCGTGGGTACCCATGAACCCGCGGATACCCAACGGGTTGGGTTGGGTTTGAGTTTTTCAAACCCAGTGGGTTTTACCCCGGGTTTTTTTCAAAGATAAACCCATGGGTTTGGGTTTGGGTTTGGCAAAACCCGACCCAACCCGACCCATTGCCATCCCTAAACTGAACTGCAATACCACCCATGCCCAAGTCGTCAGAGTGAACCATCCCGTCGTCGTCTCGAAGGAGCAAAATCCTATTCTTCCTCCTGCGTTGTAATGTTGTGAGATGAAAGAAGCGAGTATTGGAATCTCCTTCTGTTAAATAATGAACCCGAGATTTTTGTGCCAATACAATTCTTCCTGCAAAAATGCTTCAGATAATTGTTGCTAAAAAACAGAGATAATAGCCCAATCAAAATTAGGTTTATTTCGTTCCACTTGAAGAGCATCTTGGAGTTCACGGATTGCCTGAGCCGAGTTCGAAGTTCCTTTTAAGGACCAGTTAAAAAGGCTATGCCTAGCTGATTTCAAAGTGGAATGTAATTTGAACTGCGAAGTACCACCATACTACGAACTCCATTGAGATACCAAAATCTCCTCTGCCTCAGAATTGGAAAGCCAACGACAATCAAAATGAAAATTAGCCTTCGTTTTGGCAGCAGAGGCATGAAACAACAACAAAATCATCCTATGATCATAACCAAGGTCAGAAAGATGAAGAACCTGCAAACCAGGCCAAAGCGTAGATGCCAAGGGAGAAGCAAAGCCACGATCCAAACGCTCATTAATATGTTCAGAAGGCGATCGACGATTAGACCACGTGAAAGGTGGTCCTTGAAATCCAAGATCCTGTAAAGAAAGATGAGTCGCGAAAGATTGCAGCGGGGCCAAAGCCGCCGGCGTAGGAAAACGACCACCTTGCTTTTCCGAAGAACACATGAGACAATTGAAATCACCTATTACTAAGAAAGGAATAACAAGCGACGAGAGAGCAACCTTTATTTCATTCAATTGCACCAAACGAGTGCTCTCATTAGAATCCAGGTGAACAAACACCAACACAAATTGACCATAAACAGAATGAAAACATTCTACGAACATAGAAGCTTGAGACTTTGAGGTAACCGTGCAAGAGACCTTCGAAGACCAAGCAACTACGAAACCCCCAGCAGTATTTACAGGACTAACGAGGTCATTATTCGGGAAACCAAGACGACAAAGACGCGAAACAACTTTCTTATCACGACACTTCGTTTCACAAAGACACACAATTATCGGAGAACGACAATTGATAGTGGCAAGCAGCGCCTTACTAGCCAGGGCCTTGCCGAAACCCCGACAATTCCAAAAGAGAATAGTCATGACACCAATTGGGACCGGATTGGGCCGGTGTCCTCCACCCCATGAGCATTTGCAGCCAAAGCAGAAGGTTCAGCAGATTCCACACACTGAAACTTGGAATTGGAAGGAAGCATTTCCTCCTATGGTTGTTTATGAGAACCCTTCCTATATCAGATCAGATAATAAGCAATCTGATTCCATTTCCCTGTAAGTAAAATCATTCAATGCCACCACCCAGATTTCAGTAAATGCTTTCACAACCACCTTTCTTCACTCTCTCACAAAATTATTCCTTCCATCATGCATTACTCAAAAGTCAAAATGAGTGACAGTCAAAACTCAAAACACCCGGCCAGGTCTAAAGTTTGTTCCATTTCCTATCAATGGCAAAACCTCCAAACCTCATCCTTTTCTGGGAATCCTTCCATTTTCAGGAGGCACCCGCTATCAACAATCCTTTTCAAGAGAAAACCCAATTCCACACGCAAACCCACTCTTCATAATTGCTACCACCAACCTCTCGTCTTCACCACAGAAGTTCCCCCCTCATAGATTAAATCCCTCCCAAAACCTTAGAACTTCACTTCCCTCAGGTCATAATTTCCTCCCCGCCAAAGAAATGGCTTCTGGGTTTTCTTCAGCAACCAATTTAGCCGCTGCAATGGCACTATCCTTCTTCATCTTGCTCGCCGCTGCTCACACATCCTCCCCTGTTCCACCCTCGTCCTCTGCTCCACCGCCGCTCCCTGACGACGATGATGTAATCACACTAAAGGATAAGAAAACGGCCTATCTAATGCCGACATTGGTCTTGTTCGTGTTCATTTGTCTCACCTTGGCTTGTCTTTGTATACTGGGCGGCGGCTCCAACGGAACTGTTCTCAAGGTTCAGGTACTGCTGCTGCTCTGTTTTCCGGCGCAAGAACTCTGCCATTTTTACATTCTGATGATTTCTGGCCTATAATACATTTTTTCAGGTTGTGTTGTCTGCTAGAGCTGGTGACACAGGCCGTGTGCTCCGCGACATATTTGCAAACACTAACAGACCAGAGTCTATAACATCATCGAAGTTGAAAGGTTGAGATTGTTTGATTTCCGCTTAATAAATCCTCTGTTCCCCCCCCCCCCCCCCCCCCCAACCCAACCCAAACAATTTGGCGGCAACTAATAGTTCGTAATTCTCTTTGCAGAGACCATAAATGCACTGTTGGAGCACCAAAGCAGCTTCATCTATGGCTCTTCTACATCCGTGGAAGTAAAAAAATCAGAAACTGATATGGATCATACGTGGATTCCTTTTGTTTTTTGTTTTGGTCTTACCAGCTGAATATAAACTGCTTGGCAGGGGAAATCCTCGGATGGTTTTTGGCCTCTGAAGGGAATGGTGAGGGAAGAAGAGAGAAAGCTGAGAATCGAACGAGAGTATGTCTATAATAATCAGTTGGTTCCCAAGTTAGCGCCGAAACAGGACAAAGATTACACTGTGGTGAGCTTTCTTCTTCTTCTTCTTCTTGTTCGTTTCCACTTTCAGGTCTTGAAAGGGTTTTCTCCTTGTGCCTAAACTGGTTGTGACGCCATACACCAGGTGGTGATTATGGTGCATGCTGCGGGTGATCATAAGCTCCCAGCGGTCAGTAGTAGTGTGGATGTGAAAGAAGCTCTCAACTATCTGGAAACCAAGTTGTTCTCCAGAGTTCTGGTGATTAGTCTCAACTGTGAACTTGTGTTTTGAGTGTGCGATTACGTTTGATTTTGTCACTAAATTATGTTTTGCTGTTCTTCTGGTTTTTTGTTTTGGTTATACAGGGCGTGGAGGTAATGTGGGCTTACCAGGATCCTTTGCGAATTGTGGAATTGCTTGATAGCTATCCAGACCTGAATTGCATCCTTGCTTGAATCGTGATGACGCAAAATAAATAATTATTTAATTAATTACTACCGCTCCCTGATAGTCTTTGTACTAGCTGTTTCATGTTGTTATAGTTGAGGGTTTATGTCAGATTGCTCAATCTGATAAATGAAGTAAGGAGATATTAGGGTATGCGTAGGATTTAATGAGTATTAAAGTAATAGGCGGGTTGGTATTTGCGATTGTTAGAACGAATGCATTCTATGTTTAAGTGTATATATTTGATTTCAATATTTGGTAGTTGTGATTGTAGTTATTTTAGGAATAATATAAGAAATTTATTTTTATTGAAAGTCATGTCAAACATTATATTTTAAATATAAAAATCAACCATGTATAAAAGTTAATTGCGGCATATATGGAAAGGAATATGTGTGTAAATTCCAAGGATTAAAATACCGTACAGTACCGGTTCGGCCTGAAAAATCTCTTATCGGAAGCAAAATCGGTAGGCGGTATTTAGCGGTATAAAACGGTTGAACCATGATTAAACCACGGTTTTAGCATAAAATACCATACTGTTGACTTTTCCGTTATGACCTCCAGTACGGTATTTCAATCCTTGGTAAATTCACAAAACAAAATCTCAGCCATCTAACCAAAAAGTTGAGATTGTAAATTATTTATTTTGAATATCTCAAACTTCACATCAACAATCAATGTATTCTGTATCATTCCTAAAGAGAGGTGTAGTACTATTTGTAGTAGTGGTCCTTATATATTGTATTAACAATCGAAAGAAAAAATCTCTATTTGACAGGGCGAAAGCTTTTGAGGAAGATGGTAGCCATTGAAATTATCACACTTTTGATCACATTCTGAAGAAGAAAAACTCGTTGTTGGCCCTGTTGGTCGAGTATATTCTAACTCCTCGTACCACTTCCCGCCCCCCCCCCCCCCCCCCCCCCCCGGGCAAGGATCACATGAACCATAGAAGAAAAACTATAGGGGTCGTTTGGATGGTTTTTTCCATGAGTTATTTTGGCTCAAAATTTTTTTGGTTGATGTGGTATTGTGGGCCTGAGTTATTTGAGAATACCACAAAATCGAGTTATTCTAAATAACACCTAGAGAGGTGTCATTTTAAAATAACGCGTTCTACGCGTTGCCTTCCCACTTTTTCATCCCTTTCTACCCCTCTCCCGTCTCCTCTCTCCTTCCTTCTTCTCCGAATCCTTTGATTCTTCTGCCTTTAGCCAAAATCGGTTTATGCATAATCAATTCTTGTGCTATTTTGGGATTCCTTTCTTCATGTAGATCAGATTGAGTATAATGAACCTAGACTTCGATGAACAAAGTCGAAAGAGAGTTAGCAGCGGTGGCGAACGGAAGTCGAGCAGTCGTATAGTGGGAAAGAGGGACAACGACGACAAGGCTCCAAAAGATGAACATAAGCGATTCATCTTCCTTTAAAGACCTCCGAGCGACGACGAACAAAATAACTCATTGTCGTTTGATTCCCTCCCCGGATCTTCTCCGATTTATGGGTTTTGACATGGCTCTGGGTTTGGATGAATTGGGGTGAATTGTGCCGAGCTCCATTGGCAGTGAATGTGTGATATGGGAACAGATTGGGGTTTGGGTTTGGAACCTGCGATTCTTCTTCAATTAGGGGTTGGGTTTGAATTCTCTGGATTCTTCTGGTTTTTCTGGATTTTTTTATAAGATTTGAAGACCTCCACTCCGACTGATTATTCCCTCTTTCTTAAATAGTGGCTGCATATTGAGCAAAATCGTGGAGAAGGAGAAGCCCGACATGACTAATTGGCCACCGTGGAGGACATGCAACAAGATATGAATGGTTGGTGGTGGAATTGTGGAGCAATTGCAGCCATTTGTGAATAGTTTTTGTTGGAGTCGAGCAGTAGTGGTGATATGTGATTGGGTTGCTTTATTTATTTTGTGAATGGTTTGCAATCCCTTGTAATCTAGCAGTTGCAGCAACAATATGTTCTCATAGAACAAGGGATTGAAGCTAATAATTGGGGATTTCATATGGGTTTTAAACTAGATGAAGAGGGCATTATGGTATTTTCTTACTTTTCTTATCAAATACCACATATAAAATAACTCATCCATTTGGTTCATCCAAACAAGACAATTTAATCCTCAAAATTTTCAAATAACACACAGATACCACATTTACAATTTATGAGTTATTTAACCTACAAATACCACACAATCAATTAATCCATCCAAACGACCATACATTCTATACAATACATGCATTATCAAGAACCAGTTGATCCCAATAACTCGAGTTGTTGGAAGAGATTCAATCGTGGATCATATACCATTTACTAACACCCCCCCTTCAAACTCAAGCCATTAAGATAGGCTTGGAGTTTGGACAGGCACAAGTCCGGACACCGTGTGCTTAACAGAAATAGATGGGGGTCACCGAGAATCGAATAGAAGACCTCACGGTCATAGAAGGCTCTGATACCATGGGTTATAGGTATAATACACCCCTCTATTATGACGTTTTATCAAACATGCCCCTCTACTATTTTTTACATCAAACATGCCCTTGTACTTTGAAAAAATTATCAAACATGCCTTTCTATTAAACTTTCCATTGAAAAAATCGCAATCATGGTTGAACCGAGATTTAGACGACCTGACATATGCAAATGGGAGCGAAAATGTCAGTTTTGTCTCCCATTTTATTTCTCTGGGTCTCTTCAAAGTGAAATTATTTGATTTATTTGGCTATACAAAAGAACCAAAAAAATTATAAAGTGAAATTATTAGGGATATTTTAGACATTTGTGTCACCCAAACCAAAGTTCGGCCTTTGTTAACGGATTTTGGATGGGACATATTTTATCTATAACCCTTCATAAATATTTGAGGTGAATGTTTGATAAATCATCATAATAGAGGGGCATATTTTACCTACTACCATAAAAAAATCTAATCAAGTTAATTAATTGTAACTTAACACTCCATTTCTGGGCCGCTGTTACTCATTGTCCAAGCCCAAACACAAAGGACGACTTGGAGCCCAGATAAAACCCCCTCCGGGAGCCCATATCTACGACCCTACCCGATTTCTTACACTACTTTTCCCGCCATGGCACGGCAATTCCGGCAAGAAACAGAAGAGGAAAGAAAGAGGGAACAGAGATCAGAGAATGTCGATTTCTTCGATTCGCGAAAGTGGCGGGCCGTCGTCTTCGGTGGCGGCGACCCAGATGCCTCCGGGCGTCAAGTTCTCCCCGCCGGACGGAGAACTGCCGGGGTACTAGTTAGTAGTTACTACCTCTACAACCACATGCGCCGCTGCCGCCGGCTCACTACTCGGCGATCCGCCGCCACGACCTCTACGGCAACTACGAGCCGTGGGAGATCTGACAGCGCCTCCAGTCCTCCGGTGAGTCGCCCGGCGACGTCTACGCCTTCACCTAGCTGAAGAAGAAGGCGAAGTCCTGCGGCGGCGAGAGCAAGAGATCTGGCCGGAAGGTCGGGAGGGGCGGCGGGAACTGGCACGGCGAGGACGCCGGGACCAACTTCAGGCTCTTCCGCCGCGAGCGGTCGACGATGAAAGAAGGACGAGAGCTGTATCGGGACGCGGAAGAGGTTCAGATACAGAAACCCTAATCCCCAATTCGCCATCGAGCACATGAAGAAGTGGATCCTTTACGAATTCAGCATGACGAGAGAGGGCTGCAGCGACGAGGAGAAGGAATTCGTGTGTATGATCCGCAACAACGGCTCCCCTATGATGATTTGGTACGTTTAGGTTCTCCCCTGCTCCGAGGACTCCCTTGAGATGTTGATTGCCAGGGACTAGGGAGTACTGTAACATCCTTATTTATCCGCCATTGCTCTAAGTCTGCTTCATTTGATCATGATTGTGAGGCGCCGATTGGCGATGAAGCAAGTCTGCCCAAGCTTGTGGTTGTTTATGAGAACCCTTCCTATATCAGATCAGATAATAAGCTTTCTGATTCCATTTTCCTGTAACAAAAATCATTCAATGTCACCAACAAGATTTCAGTAAGTGCTTTCACAACCACCTTTCTTCACTCTCAAAATTATTCCTTCCTTCATGAGTGACCCCAATGAGTGACATTTCAACAACACTCCAGAGCTTTACTGGACCACCAATCAATCACGGTCTAAACTAGAACACCAGGCCAGGTCTATAGTTTGTTCTTTTTCCTATCAATGGCAAAACCTCAAAACCTCATACTTTTCTGGGAATCCCTCCATTTTCAGGCTGCACCCACTATCAACAATGCTTTTCAAGAAGAAACCCAATTCCCCACGCAAACAAACTCTCTATAATTGCTCCCACCAACCTCTCATCTTCACCACACAAACAAGCTACTTACTTCCCCAGAAGTTCCCCCCATAGATTAAATCCCTCCCAAAACCTTAGAGCTTCACTTCCCTCAGGTCATAGTTTCCACCCCAACAAAAAATGGCTTCTGGGTTTTCCTCAGCAACCAATTTAGCCGCTGCAATGGCCCTATCCTTCTTCATCTTGTTCGTCAGTGCTCGCACATCCTCCCCTGATCCACCCCAGTCCCCTGCTCCATCGCCGCTCCCTGCCCGTGTTGATTCAACCACATTAGTACTGCTAACATGTGCAACCTTAATCGTGCTCATGGTTGTCGCCATGGCTTGTATGAGTATTTGTAAACCGAGAAGAAGTACCGGTGGTGGCCACGACGGAACCGTTCTGAAGGTTCAGGTACTGCTGTTGGTTTGTTCTCGTGCAAGAACTTGCATTTTACATTCTGATTTCTGGCCTATACGTTTCAGGTTGTGTTGTCTGCTAGAGCTGGTGACATTGGCCGTGTGCTTCGCGACATATTTGCAAACACCAACAGACCAGAGCCCATAACAGAGTCGAAGAAGACCGTATTGAAAGGTTTCTTGGTCGATTTCTGTTTAAATTCTCTGTTTCCCCCAATTAATCAACTAATGATTAGTACTTCTCTTTGCAGAGACCATAAATGCACTGTTGGAGCACCGAAACAGCTTCATCTATGGCTCTACATCCGTGAAGGTAAAATCAGAAGCTGATGGGTTCCTTTTGTGTTTTTGTGTCTTACACAGTTGAGGTTTGAATCTAAATATGAACTGCTTGGCAGGGGAAACCTTCGGATGGTATATGCAGCTCGTTTGCTATATGGCCTCTGGAGGGAATGGTGAGGAAAGAATTGAGAAAGCTGAGAATCGAACGAGAGTGTCTCTACAATTACCGGTTGGTTCCTAAATTACCGCCCAAACAGGACAAAGATTACACTGTGGTGAGCTTTCCTTTCTTCTCCCTCGTTAAAAAGGTTTCTCCTTCTTCCTAAACTGGTTGTTACGCCATCCATAGGTGATGATTATGGTGCTTGCTGCGGGTGAGCATAAACTCCCTGTGGTCAGTAGTAGTGTGGATGTGAAAGAAGCTCTCAACTATCTGGAAAACAAGTTTCTCATAATACAGGTAATTAGTCTCAACTATGATCTTGTGTTTGAGTGTGCGATTATGTTGATTCTGGGCACTAAATTATATTTTGCTGTTCTTCTGGTTTTTGTTTTGGTTTTACAGGACGTGGAGGTAATGTGGGCTTACCAGGATCCTTTGCGAATTGTGGAATTGCTCGATAACTATCCGAACCTGTATTCCATCCTGGCTTGAATCGTGATGACGCAAAATAATTACTACTCTTCCCTGAGAGTCTTTGTACTTAGCTGGTGTGTGGTATTTGAGGGTTTATGTCAGATGGCTCAATCTGCTAAATGAAGTCCGGAGAGATTGGATTAATGTAGACCTATTAATCGATGGCTAAGATTGAATGTGGCACCTGGCCTAAATCTTTTTTTATTAGAAGATCACTGTATTAACTAAAGAAAGTCATTTTGTAGTTGGCTTGAAGTTGAATATATGGATGGGAAGATTGAAGAAGACATGTATTGATATGAATGTTAAATCGTTGTGAATGTTAAATCGTTGCACTGTAATGAATCACCATAATATAAATGCATGTATTGATGCAATGGATGCATTTTAACAATATATTGTTTGGTTGTTGAGATTCTAATTTATGCATTGATTTACATAAAGTTACTTTTAATAAGACAAACTATTAGGGATATAAATGAAAAGAAAAAGTTGACACAAATATAAAACCAACAATCTCAACTTTTAGTTGAGATTGTATAATGCATCATTTTGTGATTGTTGGTGAGACTTACCTAAAACAATGCATCACTTTAACACTTCCAAACATTATATTGTGCTACATGTATTCAACAACCACAATTTTAACTTTCCCAACCACCCCTTAATTACTTTGCTGAGCTGTAGCAAATATATTCCGGTCATAAATGACAAACTGAAGACAAAAGGAGGCGGACCAATTTGGACTGTCCAACATGCTATTTAGGGCCGGGAGCCACCAGCCAGCCTGGCGCATTATCCTCCCAACCTGTTAAAAGGCTTGGAATGGGCAGGCAAGAAAACCAAGAACCCAAAGCCCAATCTATTAAAGGCCTGACCCAATGCACCACCTCATAAAGCCGTGAGTCATAGAGTAAAACTGGCTGGTTTCTGAAATGCAACCAATTCATAGAACATAAACTATAAACTGGCCGGATTGGATTTGGACTAGCTATCTATAACCCTATCAGAGGAATCTTACTATGTTTTGTTCAAAAAAAGATTTTTTATGATAGATATTGAACTTGTACCGTTGACGTTATGATATAAATTCAGTTTGAATTCATACTTTTTTTTTTACTAATTCATTTATGGTACAAAGTGCATTTGTATATTTATCTAATACAAATTGGACTGGTACCATAACATAAACGCACAATTTTATTTATGGTACAAACTATTTATGTAAAACTAAATGCCTAATTGCTCTACTGTAGCCATATTAAAACTAAAAAATGGAATATAAAATTATCAAAATTGTAAAGTAAATGACTAATTATTAAAATTATTGTTTCGGCCAAGAAACAAGGAAGTTCCGGATCTGTGAAAGGGTGAGGACGTCTCCCGTTATCTATCCTCCGACGATCAACATTGACATAGTGATCAGGAAATAGGGAGAGCTTAGGTAGAGAGATAAGTGTTATGTGAAAAATGAGTAAGAGAAGAAGAGCCCCTTTACTTGAAAGACCGAAGAGTCTATTTATAGGTCAAGCCTTCTCATCCTTTATTGGGCTTCCATTGGATCTTTGTAGTGTTTTGTGGGCTTGGACCCATCCGCACTTGTGGATTGTCGTTGTTGTTCGAGTTGGGCCTTGTCGTATTTACGGGTCCAACAATTGTCCCCCAGTTAGGTATCAAGTAGTATACTAGATGCCTAACTAAAATTGTTCAAGTTGTCACGTCATTTTTATTTTGCTTCTGGCGCATGACGAGTATGTGCTCCTTGTCCCCCGGCTAGCTGATCCATGTCCCCCCATGATCATAATAGCTTGAGAACTTGGAGCAAGAACCATGTAGAGAAAGAGCAATGTAACATAATGTGACTCGTCACATGGTTAGCGATATAACTCAAACCATGAGAGAAAATAGTGATTACACATCTGATGTCTAACAAGACTATGACATTTTCGACGCATATTTGAAGATTTGTTTTCCTTAGAAAAATACTGAATGTGCATGCACATGTTATTCCCAATTGTCCCCCAGTTAGGCGTCCAGTGGTGCACTGGACGACTAACTAAAGTCTCCCCTGTCAATTTCCATGTAAGGTCCTTTAGTGTTTTGTCCCCCAGTTCATGTCCCCCACACCATATTAATTACACAGAGAAAGGATCACAAATATAATAAGTGATGCAACATAACTTGACACATACAATAACTAGGAATATGACACGAGTAGTGATAGACAACCCTTAGCTTATTTCTTGATATGTCTCATTGGGGACTAGCATGGAGCGCCTCGGCAATAAGCCATTGGTGGCTTAATTTGAAAGTAATGTTGCCTTGGTCGCTAGAAATGCCCCCACTATGTCTGACATAGGCTTATAAGTATAGGCGCTTTCCCTCATGTATTAAAAGCTTGCACCGTAGCTTTTTGGTAGAATGGCGGACTGTTGTTGACTTGCTGCTAGTGTTATTAGGCGTTTAGCTTAGGAGTAGTTATAAATCAAACGCCTATTATTTCTCTTGTCATGTAGTTGACCTTATGTTCCTAACCATGCGCCTATTCTTTTGGTTCTCCTCCAAAGCTCCATTTTCCTTTTTTGTTTGGCCTCTCACCAATAGTTATGCACGCCTATATATTTTCTTTTAGTTATTCCTAGCTCTTAACGAGTTGACTTGGCACCATCCTTCATTTTGAGTGAGGATGTATTCCCTGCATTTCAAGTGTACTTCACATGCTTGTCACACCGTTAAAAAAGGCTGGCTCCTCGACGTGCTTCCTTGTGCATTTCTAACCATTGCCCATGAATTTTGTGGGAGCTCAAGCCAACGTGTCTTGAATAATAGGGCGCACTCTCTGAATATAGCGTCTGAAGCCAACCCATGTAAGACATCTCATAGGAATTTTAACATGGCGCCTCTTTCTTGCCTTCCTTTCTTTCTTCATGTACAAAACACTATATCCTCTATAATGTTTATATTTATTTCCCTTTCTTTCTCTATTAGCATAGTGCCTTTTTCATGCTTTCATTTTTTCCAGGCAATTAATGGGCATCCCACAAGAGCCTTAATACTAGGCGCAACTCTTGTGGCTCTTTGAAGTTGAGCCATTAGGCTCTCACATACATAGACTTCAAACACTACTTAATTTTACGATTTACGGGCGCCCAGGGTATCGCATGCGCTTTAATTTCATAGCCGCATGGTGTATTTTCCAATCAAGGCATTACCTTTGAACGCATAGATAACTTCCAATTCATGGTGCTATGTGTAAGTGCGGAGTGTATATCCAACTGAGGGCGCCATATTTAAGTATGTAGATCATTCTCAGGTACATGCGCTATGCTTAGGCGTTGTGTATATGCCAACCAAGAGTACTATATTTGAGCGTAGAGTATTTCCAACCACAAACATTACCTTTGGACGTATAAAGTATGCTAGTGACGGGTGCTAGCTTTGGGCACGGAGAGTATTTCCAACTACGGGAGCTATACTTGGGGGCGAAGAGTATTTCCAACCAAGGGCGCTAATTTGGGCACGGAGAGTATTTCAAACCACGGGCGCTAAATTTGGGCGCGGAGAGTGTTCCCGACCATGGGCGCTATATTTAGGCGCGGAGAGTATTTCAAACTACGGGCGCTAAATTTGGGCGCGGAGAGTGTTCCCGACCATGGGTGCTATATTTAGGCGCGGAGAGTATTTCAAACCACGGGCGCTAAATTTGGGCGCGAAGAGTGTTCCCGACCATGGGCGCTATATTTAGGCGCGAAGAGTATTTCTAACCACGAAAGTTAAATATGAGCACATAGAGTATTTCAAGCCAAGTACGCTATATTTAGGCACGAAGAGTATTACTTCCTAACGATGCTATGCTTATGTGTCGAGACTATTCCCAAACAAAGGCATTATTTCTCTCACGTAAAATTAAATTTCTAAAGGAAGCAGAGTACTTACCTTGAAGCCCCAGGTTTTGGTGAATACCGAGAGCGTGCAGCAATGATTAAGAATGCAAGGTTGCAGTGGAGTGGTTGAATAGCTTGTCCTATCTTGCCAAAGTGTTGGGTTCGAGCCAACTACATGCGCTCCCCAAACTCTTTTTTCTGCTTCTTGCCTGCCCTTCCTTTTTTTTTTCTCGAAGGCGTCCATTCCTCCTTTCCTTTCTGCGCTCCCTTATTTATTTCCCTTCCCATTTTTTGTAAAGGAAAATTTTCAGGCGCCCATTCCTCCTTTTCTTTCTGCACTTCTAACCTTATTTATTCCCTTCCTTTTTGTCCAATTCCAGGCGCCCATGATTTTATTTTACTGTGAGATGCTCAATGCTTTGGACCCTACACGGCTACACCTACCAAAAGATCCAGAATGCTCTTCTTAGTCGGTGGTGGTAGAAAGCAGTACTCCCAATGAGTCCGTATTTGGCTTTTCTTTCTTGCTTTCTTCTTTGAACATTAAACCAATGCGCCAACGCTCCCTTTTCCGTACACCTTCAACCTTCCCGCCCCTCCCTACTGTACATCTCGAGGGCATGCGCCTCCTAATCCGATGATTCTCATACGTACGCCTTAAACCATCGATTATGAGCTCCTTTTTTCCTTTCGATTTCTCAATTCTTTGCTACATCTCTCGAACAGGGCGCCTCCCAATCCAACAAGGCTACAAATCTGGGTTTCTAATCTATACAAAAGCTCGGAGAAGGGTATATCACCCTCCAAACATAAATGATGATGATTGAGCAGCAACGGCTGGTATCGGGTGAAATCGGTAAGGACAACATGGACTTGGTGCTGCCGACAATGATAGATGATGAAGACAGCAACGGCGGGCGACTGAAGACGGAAAAGATTAACGCTGGATACAGGATTCGAGAATACCAAAGAGAGCTGGGTTGGTGGAGGATGATCAACATGGGACGAGATTGATCAGGACTGGTGGAGCACCTGACTCGTGGGGTACAACTATGGCTTCCTCGCTGTTTCCTTTCTTTCTCCTTCGCATTTTTTCTGACTCAGGCTCGAAAAGAAGAAAAGATCTACGGAGTTTGAAGCTATACGCAGATCTTGAATCGGCCCCTATCTGGCGCGCCAATTGTTTCGGCCAAGAAACAAGGAAGTTTCGGATCTGTGAAAGGGTGAGGACGTCTCCCGTTATCTATCCTCCGACGATCAACATTGACATAGTGATCAGGAAATAGGGAGAGCTTAGGTAGAGAGATATTGTAGAGAGATAAGTGTTATGTGAAAAATGAGTAAGAGAAGAAGAGCCCCTTTACTTGAAAGACCTAAGAGTCTATTTATAGGTCAAGCCTTCTCATC